ATCGATTGGCCTATTGGCATTTTCGCATGCGCTTCTTCTGCACAAGTAAAGGGCAGGGCATCCTATACCTGAACGTTCTACATTTTCTTCGTTCCACTTTCAGGATACCGTCCTCTCCGCCTCGAAATTATCTCGATCACTTCATCTATTGTATCCACGATCTGGATAAAGTCAACAAAAGAACAAAAACTATTTTCATCCTTTCGCGTCAGAAACTCGAAATGCTCCGAAATTATAGACGCGCTTTCAAAATTAAAATTTAACAAATCAAATTAACTAAAAACTGTAATAATAAGCATGAGAGTAAATTCATACAGATTAAAATTCGCATATTTTTAAATAAAATATATACATAGTGCTTTTTAAATATTATATTAGAAAAATGAAAAGTTTTATTCACGGTGATTTATTCGATCTTCACAACTGCAAGTTTAACTCGTTGCATTGTTTTGTTGGGCTTTCAATTACTAACTGCTTGGAAACTTCAGAAACTTACATAGTGCAGAAATCTGTTTCTCAGACTACACAAACGGTCTAAATATATCGGAACCGATTATTTCGCTTATTTACCTTTCGCTTCTCAGCTGGAGAGGTTAAAAAAAGATCATCCGTCTTGCCAAAATCGACAGTGGCTCCAATTTTGAGAATGCTTTCTCGATCTGTGTCGATTAATAATTTCTTTCTTTTTTTTACCGAATTCTTTCAACATCGCCGTACCCTCTAAATCCCGAGTCCCTTTTTACAATGCCCCGGACACTCGACTCAAGTACACGTGACCCATTGCGACACGCCGGTTTGTGGCTACGTGCACTCCGGGACACCCGGTGTATTTACATAAGGCTCAGCCACACGTAGGCCGGCAATACGCGTTGGTCCGGTTCGGAATCGTCGGCGAGTGGCGAGAGATGCGGCCGAGAACCTGCACCGCCACGCTAACCTGTTGGATCCGGCGCGGCGGCGCGGTGGAGCAAAAAAAGGTAAGAGGACCAGTCAACAAAAGATATGGCTGCCGGATTTTTCTACCTGGTCTCCGCGCCGTATCCAATGTCCGATCCCCGTTTTCCTTAAAAATCGATTATTTTTCCCCGACGTCCTCAAATCTGAATGATCGTCAGACTTGAATAACGGCATTGTTACTGTAAACTGAACGGAGCCAGTATCGATGTTGTTATAGAACGAGGTAATTAATCACGAAATTAATTATTAAAAACAAAATTATTATCAAAAACGAATTATTCAACTGTCGTTGCTTTCGACGTTTCTAAAAAATCGAATAATAAATCGAATTGTTTGTCGATTCTTTTTTTTCAGCCCATCCACAATCTTATCCCTCGAGGGTCGCGGCGATTTCCCGCAAACGCGATTGAATAATGCACTTCGCACTCGTTACTTCACGTCGTACCGTATTCATGAGTCACGGCGATCTTCGCATCATGCGAAAGAGAGCTAGGCATTATTGGGATAAATATTTTACTCAGACCGGGTAAGGATAATCCTTCCTGCTTGAAAGACAAGACAATCGTCTCTGCGTGAACGAAGCATTGGAAAGCCAAAAAAAGAAAAAAAAATTTTCCTCGAAGCGATTTTCTCGGAAAATAGAAACGTCGTTTGATCGCGACAGAAATATCACAGTTAAACCAAGTAATCAGAATAAATAAAAATGCTATCAGAGGTTAGATAAAAGTACGACCGCTTGATAAAATCCTGCCTTCTAAAATCCTGTAACTATATTTTTGCCTCGATACAACTGTAATCTTCATCGAATTATTCAGTTGATTTTGCATCACCGCCACGTTTTGATGCGTCGGCTTAACTCTTCGAAATACGGTGCATCCAGTGAATACTCGGTGAACGAAAATATCGGCACTCGCGTGAGATTATCATTATCACACCCGCGGAGGGGGATGGGCGTCACGCTCGAGATACGACGAGTTATTCCTTATCGCACGGCCGCCAGGTAAACACACAGTGCGCTGAAATTCTTCTCTCACCGGAAGCGTTTCCTCGCTACGTTTGTTCGGCAATTCTATACCGCCGTCGTTCTCTATGCCGCGCGCGAAAATTTACTTCGCGGAACAAAACAAATTCTCGCAGAACGAGAACAGACTCGCTGAAGAAATTTCCCTCTCCCCACCCGCTCTTTTTGTTGGATTTATTTCTCAAATTTGCATGGATATGCAAAATGGAGCTATTATAGTACAATAGAATAGCGAATACTGATAAAAAAAGAATTGAAAAAAGCTGTGTTGAGATATATACTGCAGTAAAATTGTACAACATGTACAAGCTTTATGTGAGAAAATCTTAATCCGTTGACTCATCTTTCCCATGGGCTTTTCCGGTTGTACCAACAATAATTACGGACCACCCAGTATACGGGTGGATATGGGAACCGGCTCGTTCAATCGATCGAAATTGGCTAATTCGATGATAAAACCGTCCTGCATCGGCTTGGCTAATTACCCACGTTGTGCCGATGCAAAGGCGATCAATGTTTTCAGCCTCGTAAAATTAACCGGTTTACCAGAAAAATCATTAATTATGATGGTCAAAGAGCTGAATCATTAAAGCTAAGATTTTTAGTTAATTATTTTTTTGCAGAAAACTAAATGTAAAATTCAAGGTTTCTTTATCAATTATTTTCCTCCGTTTAAAACAATTAATAATATTAATATATAAAATAAAAATCTCTTGCGTTGTGCAAATTTATTTATATATAAATTTAGTTATTTTTTAAATATAAATTATAGTTAATGTTTAATATAAATTATATTTTATTATATATCGTTTTGAGACATATATATATACATATATATATCCTATATATATATATATATATATATATTGTATATATTTAAGCATAAAAAATAGTTGAATCTTTGCTTTAAAAAAGAAATCAATAATTCAACATTAGAATCAAATTGATTTTTTCTTTCAATAAATTTGTATGTATTTAGTTATATTTCTATAAATTATATAATCTATATTGGTGTATAATATATGATTTTCAAGTCGATATTTAGGAAAATAAGACATTTTAAATCGATTAAGAATTTAAATTAAATTTGGTCGTTTTATAATGACTACTACATAGTCTAGTGTAATCTGTCGCGATAACGACATGTCCTGAGTTCGCAATCGTGCGATGCGCGATTCTATTTCTCGTTTCTTCCGTACGAGCAAAATATTATCTACAAGCATGAGTTTTTTATAGCTTTGATCTCTCCCGTAACGAACGTTCTACAAAACCGCCGAAAAACGATGCATCCGCATCGCTTTGAATTAGCTAGCGTGCGCGCCATTTTGCCGGTCACAACAAAATTGGAGTCGTCGCGTCGCGCTACTGCGACAAGTTCGAATTCCACCTGTCGCGCATCGAGCGGGTACATACATGTATTCAATCATGCGGACACGAGCAAAAACCGGAGCCGAGAGGCCACATTTTAGAGACGAAGTCGGGAGGTCGCGACGAATGAGAGAATGGGGAAGAAGAAAAAAAGAGAGAGGTGTGAATTTGGTACTCACCGAGATCTTCGACGAGGCGCAGCATGACACCGCCGATGTGCAGCTCACCCTTCACGCGTAAACTCCTCTCGACCTGCAGATCCGTCACGAAGACGCGCAGCACCCAGCTGCCGTCCACCTCGTGGCCGTCGGAGTACATGCCGGGCGTGATTTCTTCTCCTCCTTTCTTTTATCCTTCCTATCCCTTCTTCCCTTCTTCGCCGAACGTGCAGGCGATGTCAACGCGGCGGCCAGGAGGGAACGGGACAAGGGAAATCGGTGTCGGCGAAGAGAGGTCCGGTTTCGCGCCGCGTACAAACACACACACGGCACACACACGCACACCTCCGGGCGCGTTTACGGCTCCGTCACCGGATTACGGCGCGCGAGCCTCGTCGTTTTCCTCGCACGAGAGGAGAGAGAAAGAGAGAGAATTCTTACGCGCGCGGTTCAACGTCTGGCGAACATGTCACACCGCGCCGAGAATATCGTTCTCCGTTCGCTCGTTGGTCCGGCTCGGCGTTCGACGACCGACGTGCGTCGACACGCAACGCACCACTGCCGCGCGACGACTGGCTTTGCCGTTCCTTTCCGTGCCCCTCCGGAGGACTCCGTCGCTGCTCCGGGCACACGCACGCACGCACACACGAGTACGCACCCTCGCGTGCGCGTGTGCGCGTGGAAACGAAACCGGGGAATCGGAGTTGCTGCGCGCGCGAAGCAAGCGAACCCACCACCACCTTCGTTCGCTCGGACCCGAGTGAAGTTGGGCGAACGCGATGCGCGACGCAGGCGCTCGGCCGGTGTCGGCCATCTTCGGCGTCGCTCGGCTCTGCGCCTGCGCGTGACGCGTCCGGCGTCCACTACGCTACGCCGCCGACCGCCGTATACGTTCTTCCGACACGGTCGACCGGGTCGACCCGACGTAACAAAACGAGTGTATGTACGCGCGCTCGCCACGTCGTGGCGAGAATATTGCGTTTAGCCCGATTTGGCGAGACGACGACGCGAGAAAGCGGATATTAACGAAACGACCGAGTGGCGAGTGGCTTCACGACCAAAAACGACCGACTTCGTGACGCATCTGGAACGCACTCCCGGGGTTATACTTCGTCTCTATACATTTATTCCACGAATGTTCAATTGTACATTTAAATTAATTTCAAGTGATATTATCCCAGTGCTCGAATAACAGTTCGAAATGACTATATTTACATGATTGCCCTTTTCCTTTCCGGAATCAAAGGAAGGATCAATTTCAATGAAGATAACGCGAGCCAATTTCGATTAAAAACGAGTTGCTCTCTCTCTGTTGCATAAACGTTTTATCGTCGGGAACTTAGCTCACGAAATTCAAATTTGCAAATTTTTTTCAGTTTATCTCTTAATTATAATCTTCCGAAAGTTGCGAAATTTAATTGGATTTGAGTAGTTTTTTTTTCTATCGAAATACACTCTCCTGGTAATTTTGATTTGTTTTTCATGAGTCTTGTGTATCTTAACTCTCGTTGCTTCTTACTCAAATATATACATTTTTTTATACATATACATCTAATTGTGAGTTTTACATGGAATTCATTTTTTTTACAAAAATTGATTCTCCACATTATTTTGCATGCAAAGTATTAAAGCGAGATTATCGAAAAGTAAACAGTTTATGAAATCTCATATATATTTTTTTACAATGAAATAGATATGTAGTAAACATATATAGTATTTCCAATTATTTTTACTTTTTGATAATCTCATTTCAATATTTATTACAGATTAATAAATTTTTCGAAAATATAAAATTGATAGGATTTAAACGAAAAACGGGACTATATATACGAAAACTTTAACAAGTTTTACATGCAAATTTTAAATAAATTCGTAAAAAAAAGTAATTATAAGAGATACATGGGAATAATATAGACAATAATGTTATACCGAAATTAATTTTGATTTAAATAAAGCGGGTACTTTTTGCAGAACCAAAAAAAAAACTCCTTTTGAAGCGAAACAGACGACCTTTGTAAAATACCTCAACTGACTTTATTCTCATAATCTACATTCATAGTACTGTACTTAATGAATGAACGTACATTCATCCACGTTGTCCAGGGTGAAAAGTGCACGGCACTGAAAAGCCGCGTTTCGTGAGTCTCTCCCCTGCGACGAATAAATTTCTTCATCCCATTTCGACATAGAATAAATCGTGGGCAGCGTCATCTAACTAAGTTTCGCTAATCTATTACAAATGCTTCTGAATTGTCTAGAATTCATAAAAATATTCACTCTCATGCTAAGAATTTACATTGAGGCTAAGTAGTCGAGTAGTCAACGCGCCACGCCCTGTGAAGAACACTTTTCACCTGGGACGCAGAGAAACGATATTTACGCTTGTGTGTTTTGCCGTGCAATAAACGATCGTTTCTATCTAAGAGTACAAGGAAAGAATACTGCGTTTCGTCATGTCACACGCTATACTTCACATCGCGCTTTCTCTCGTTCTCGTTCTCTCTCTCTCTCGCTCTTCGCGGTAAAAAAAATAGTCGGTATTAGGCGTTGCCTCGTTTAACACCGCCTTCTCTTTCTTTCATCTTTACATCGCGGATATTACGTGTCGGACTGAAACGTATTTTAAGGTCACAGCACACCTGGAGGGAATTGAACTTGCAGTCGCTTTACAATCCGTAAATTCTTTGGTACTTAACACTTTTCAATGATGTACTCTTAGATAACGCTAATGCGCTGCACAAGTTACTGAATCACAAAACAGAGGCATGCGCGACCCGATTCATTAATTTAAAAAAAAAAAAGTGAGGAGTCTCGATAACTGTTAAAAACAATTATATTATAAACATACGAAGATCAGAGATATACGATTAGTTAAAAATATTATCGTTCAACTTTTATTGCACTGACTGATCGCACGATCGGTAGCGTCGATAGCTCCGTCCGGTTAATGAGGAAAATTAACAATTTCCTCATTACTTCTGATATCACAACTTTCTGTCGCCACGATAAAAGAAGAAACTTACAGTTAACCGACAGTTTCGATTAGCGCTAAAAAAAAAAAAACGATGTCGACGCAACCGATCGGATGGCTACTCCCCGTCAGTTTTCGCGTGCGTGCGTGATCTAAGTTCGAGAAACCGTGAGCCCGAATCTGACGATCCGTCTATGTTTTGTTTCTTTTTTTTTCTTGCGCAAGCAAAGACAAGTATCACGGGTGTCAGCGAGTAAGCGAAGTCTTATTATGAAGAAAACGAGGATGAGGTAACGTTAGTTCGCACGTCGACGCGTTGCGGCGTCGACCGTGGCATTGCCGATCGCATTTCGAGAAACGGTGCTGCAGTCCGATCGGACTCGTCGAGCGTAATTCATCGTCGATAACATTAATAGTCCTCCGTGTTAGATAATAATAAACATTAACGTAAGTAGCAACCGACCACGTCGCCGTTGCCGTCACGACGGTTAGACATTTTGCGGATTGCAGTTAAAGACCTGTTTTCATCGTCCCTTGCGCGCATATCCGTCTCGTGCGCAATTGCGCGAGTATATAGCTAGAATCGTTGTACTCGCGAGAGTTACGCGCGCAATATCACACCTCTCTCTCTCTCCTCCGACGTCTCGAACAATCCTTTGCAAGCATCTTCGGGCCGTTACGACTGCTGCTCGCGTGATCCTCACACGTTTAATTGCTTGAAGTAATACCTGCAGTACACCGACATCATCGTCGGCGGCGCATCAATTTTATGCAATAGCTTCTCCTCGTTCTCGGAAAATTTCTCCAGCGATAAACTGTACTCCCTGTCGAAGACGCCTGCAAGAACAAAAATCGTTATTAGACGAATTAATCGAGCTCGATGAATATTTCAATCATTTTAGAACACATGTATCTTGTGTAAGTTTTTAAAGACTGTTTAAAGACAAGTTATTATACATATAATATTTTAATTATATAGCTCACCCTGGTCAATATTCGTTCTTCCTAATACAGTAAATGCCAGGAACAAAATATCCCTGTATATAGAAAATGGATGATCGCCTGTTTGATGTTTACTTCTTTCTAAGGCCACTCTTATTATAGGTTCCGCTAAGTCGTTGCAACGGACATATGTTATCACTGCCTGCATCAATCTAGAGCAAGCAAAAGATTAATAAGATAACAACTGCAATCATTTCGCATATCTATTTGTTCAAAAATGAATCTGATCATAACTAATTGATTAATTATTTTGTAATCCAGATAATCGTTAATCTCATTATTCACGATACCCATTTATATTTAAAATTCAAGTGCCGTATCATTGATATACTTATCAATTATTTGAGGGAATCTATTTTGAAACTTACGTTCTGTCGTCTGTGGAATTTGACTTCCACTGAAGATACATAGGCAAACGATCCATGTGGAGCCGCTCGTTGTCCCACATGGTTCTGACACCCACCGATCCTACAGTCCTCTGAAGATCCGAGTTCTTATCGTTGTTCAACCAGAGATCAGGTAAATGGCTCGTTAAATTAATCCTTTCGAAGTACCATATCAGGTTCCAATACACTATCGGGTGCTCCTGTATAAACCTGTGCTTGGTGAGACACACGTCCCCCTCTTGACTCAGCACACTCTCTAATTCCTTTCTCAAAACTAATGGATTTAGATATGGTACGGTTATCGGTTCCAACGATTCTTTCGGCTGATCCAATAATTCTACCAACGCTGCCATTAAAGGATCATTACTCTTCTCGCTTACTTCGGATCTACGGCGAGACAGATATATTCTTAATAATTTTATCAAGGTCGATGCCCGCCTACGATACGGTCGCTCAGTCACCTGTAATCTAATATCGTAGCCGTGAGGAGGGGTACGGTAGCTTTGTCGCAATATTGACAGACTGTATTTAAGTTGGAATCTTCCGGCTGCCAACCGGCCATTATCTCCTCGTCGTACAGGATGGCGGCGCAATGATGGCATCTACTGGCACTGGAAAGCACAAGCTCAATGGCAAGACGTTCCTCTAACTCTCTACTGCCCTTTGGATAAAGACACTCCGCGAGTTCGTACAGTGAACACAAATCTAAATTTCCATCGCCTGATTGAAAAAAAAAAGAAGATGAATAGTATCGCGTAGCATAAATGTATCGTATTCGTCATTTATTGTAGTTTATTATATTATATACCTGATGCCCTTGTCTCGTTTCGATCTTGTATAGATCCATCCGTAAGAGAGTCCAGCGACTCATGAGATATTCCGTAAGCTAATTTTTGTTCGCGTTCCTTATTTTTCACCGGTGTACTCGTCGCCGAAATGGCTTCCTTTATTTCGTCAAATTTCTTAACCACAGTCGTCGCAGCGGACTTCAAGCTATTCAGACCACCAAGTATTATTTCGTTCGATTTTTTTCCTGTTAAACTCGACGGGCTAAAATAAGAATTAATAAAAACATAGAATCTGGAACGAGCAGGAAGGAAAATCTCTCTACATATGAAAAATGTAATAATGTAGAGGCACACAAAGGCAGGACGCGCATGTCTAATGAGCATCTATGCAACTAACATACACGCTTACGTACCTGATATAGCTGGAGAGACTAAGAGATTCAATAAGTTGATTCGATGATATTAAATCCTTATTTTTAGCAAATGCCAATCCACCCGTGGAGTATCGTCTACATTTAACGGACAAAATAACAAAAACAAACTCAAACGCGCATGCAAAAAAATAAAAGAAAATAAAATTACATTCCTCTAACAGTGTGATCACGAATTGGCTATTTAATTATTTTGTTGTGTATATGTATAATTTTTAAATACACATAACCATTTATTTTTTCCCATCGATACCGGTTATTTATATACTTCGTTAAAAAGTTGTAGTGTAATCTATACGATCTATGATCTTGCATATTTTTTTACAAACTATAAAGTAATCAAATCTTGCAAATGTCTTATCACGTCCACACGTTTGAGGAAAAACATAACGCATTACACGAGGTGTTATTTGACTACATAGTAATGTGCACGTTATTAAATTAAACATACGTGTTCTTTATAGCTGAACTGGCTGTGCTAGTTCACAGTTTATCTTTCTCTTTCTATATTGGAAGAAGAAAGATAACCTCTGAACTAGTGCAGCCAGTTCAGCTACAAAGAACAGGCCTATACATAGATGTCTTACCCGAAACTAAGTTTAAGACTAGATCCTAAGCTAGAGAGGCTGGACGTTACACTATCCTTATTCTGAGACCAAAGACTGCTTATTTCCAGTCTCTCCTTCTCTCTCTCCTGTTCCCCTTGTTGCGCCACGGAGTGAGGCATCGTCTCACTCCTCTGCAAATGCCCACCCACCGTCATGCCACTTTCATCTACCGCTTGATGAAACGTCGCACTACGTGGGAGGATGTTGCTGTAAACACATATTTTATATATAGAGTGATTATCGTATGTTTAAAATCAAATACGCGAATGGGGAATGCATATCTTTGGAGATTACAGAGGATGTTTAACTGGCCTCTTCGTAAAAATATAAATACTTTTGTTGCACAAGTACTCGCGATTACTTTGACTACCAGTAACAGTCTCCCATTACGTGGTTATAAATTAACTTTTATGTATTCCTTACGTTTTATTTTTATTTTGAGAAAATATTCGTTCTTTTAACTAAAATTTCCTCGAAAATGATTCTGCGATACGCTACTTCTGACTCTCATTTTTGTTCTCGTCTAGATATTTAGTGTTTCACGCATGCAAATACAATACGTGGAATGTCATACCTTCTAAATAAGAGTGGCCCTCCTGGTCTCTCTTCAGTCGTATTATTTAAAACTGTTAAAGTACTTGTTGAGCAATTTGAATCGTTCTCCTCGCAAGGCGACACAATCGGTGTTTCGTCATTAATGAGAGCACCCAATGGGTCATTTTCCGTAACTGGTGTGCGTATGGGACTTTTTAAAGGCGATTCGACACTGCGCGTTAGCCTACATGGAAAATATTACAACTACATAAGCCTATACATGCAAATTAGCACTGTAAAAATTCAATATACGGAAAGATTAATTACGTAAGATTTTAACAATGACAAAATGGTCTACACAATGAATACTCGTTTGCATCCGCTAATGTAATACTAGTGAAATAATATCGTCTAAAGAACAAGCGATTCTAGCAAATGGGGCAAACCTGAGAGCGACACTAACGTACAAGTCCTAACAGTGAATATGTGATAAGATACCTTGGATTACTCGGTGCTTGTTCCAATTGTAATTCGTCCGACTGTAACATACTTAATGTCGTTTGATCCTTCACTATGCTATTTTGCCGAAGGAGCTTAGCTTTTAATTCGAATGATCCGAATCCGGGTAGATCCGACACCGAACTGCCTTTAGTGGCTGCCGGAAAAAAAAGGAATATTATTATTTGAAAAGTGACGTAACTTAAGTGTCTTACTTAAGTGTCACACGTAAAAAAACAAAAAGATAAAATTAACTTACAATCACTGTGCGCAGCTTCAGTATCCTGAGAATGGGAACTGTCGAGACTAGACCGAGAGAGCGCATGTTCCATGCATTCAGTCTTATCGGTGGTTAAGAAGTCCACATTAGAGCTCAATCGTCTTCTAGCGCTCTTTTTCCCAGCTTTTTTAAACAACGCTGCACCGACAATGACATTTCGTAATTTGTTCCACATTAACTGACTTGAGTTTGTCATATCGGAAGGCCAAGTTGCCTCGAGAACAGCCTGTAAAACGCGAGACGATTAACTAAAATTCTCAGAATAATTAGTTAATGAAAAGTTTTGTGTAAATGTACACCTCTTTTTTTTTAAGGTATTACATTTACTAGTTAAAAAAAAATAGACAAATTACCTTGTTGTAAAATCCGTACGTTAAAGCGTTAGGTTGAACACCACTGCGTTTCATATGAAACAGTAACTTTACAGCTAAAACTGGCTGCCCGTATACTCCACAAAGTTGCATCATAGCTCTGTAGCATACCTGGAAAAAAAGAACAAATACTCGGTTAAAAATAATGGGTTTATCTATCTATTTATTTATTTTTTAGTATCGAACTTTTTTATACCTCTTCCATAGGATCGAGACGTAACTTCTGCATTTTGACCAATATCTCATAAGCCTGATGCAAAATTGCAGCAGGCTGGCTAGAGACTTGTAGCATGGCCGGTAAATGCAGAAACCAAAGACTGTGGCATGTAACGAGCAGGCATCTGCCCCACCTGTCGGGCATTGCAGCCTGAAAAAAAGGAAAAACATAGTAAATCACACATGTACATTTGCCTGAGAATACTTTTACACAGTCGTCTCACTTACTTGTTTCCGAGCCATCCTTTGAGCAACTTTGATTTCGTGCTTTGTTCTACGAGCCATAGGACTCCCAGGTACCATACCAAAGGCACTTAGAGATGGATTCTTTAAACAGAAGTTCTTCTGAGGCCTCATTAGATCCGGGTTCAATTTGAACGACTTGTATATTATTGGTGTTTGATTTGTCCCTGCTTCAGGCGGAGGTATAAATACTGTACGTTCGCTATGTTGAGATTCATCGAGTTCCAAAAGCGTCACTGAAAATTGAACGGTGGAATGAATAAGAAATATGTCGCGTATGCGTTAATAAGATAGAGAAATATTGCATCTTAATTTTATACGTACCATTCTCCTCCTCGACTCGTTCTGTACACTCGTCGAAAAACGCTAACCCTGCCATATCCATATCGGACACGAAACTTCTTTCTTCTATGAACCTATCAAATTTATTACATTTTTTGTTAGAATAAAATTATTTTACAAATAATATTAGAATTGACGGAGGAAAAAGTGTAAACACTCCAATTCACCTGATAAACATTTGCGTTCTGACGAGCATGGTGTAAAATTTAGCGTGGGCTTTGTCGCGACTTCTCAAAAACGCTTGGATATTAAATAAACTTGTCGGATCTGTCGTCCCTACGGTAGGCGCTTTTGTAATCGGCAACAGACAGCTTCGATACCCTTTGAGAATCGTCGCCATGAATCTTAAGAAAGCGTCCTGTATTTCGAGCTCTAAGGCTTGCTCCTTTCGTTTTTGGTGAAACTCCCTGTCCACGCTGAAATCTTCATCTCCTCTATCTGATACGGAAATAATTAATTAATTTTATTAACAAGTAAAAAAAAAGATAGTCAAAATAAGTGAACAAAAATATACCTTTCTGAGAACAGCTAGTCTTTCCCCACGAAATTATCTTGGAGGACAATAGCTCCAACCAATTTCTCAGCTGTCTAGCTGCCTTTTTCGGCAGCAGTTTAACATTTAAATATTTTTTATCGTCGCATATCGCAATGTTATTCGTGTCCAAATTTACACAGTTGACATCAGCAGGAGGATCGTATAAATCAAAGAACCTTGAATCCACGCCGATCAGGAATGGCAATGGCGCGTGTAACACCTGTAATTTAAATAATTGCCCTGCCACTTTTTGCATCCGTATAGTATGCTGTATAGTATAGAGAATGCAAGCTTAGTAATATGTTACCTCAGCTAATCCCAGAGGACACAACGGTATGTAAGGACATTGCCACTTGAAAGGAAACAGAATCATGGCAATGGCCTCGCTCACGGAGGTCAGTACGTCCGGGCGTAAGGAGTGAACCAATATCTTCTGCTCGGTCAATATTAATAACAGTATCAATAAGCAATTGTCAGGTCCCAAGTTTATCAGGAGTTGCCTGAAACTCGCGCCCGACCTAGGCAGGGCCAGATCCTCCGGTTGCGTCAAGATCAGTCTATCCTGACTGCTGAGCTGCACCAAAATACGCGGCCGCTGCGGACTCGGGAACGGTATGTCGCATAAAAAATACGAGATGTATTTCTCGATCGGGACGCTCTGCGGCTTGTCGTTCACCATGCGGTGCAGGAAAACCAAAAACTTCTCGAACGTGTCGAAAAACGGCCAGTGAGACAGTATACATATAGACTTGCTGATATTCAGCGATTGGCTCGCGGGATCTGTGTACTGCAGCCTTTCCAGCTCCAATATACTAAGCTTCTTGAGTATGCCAAATTTCTTAAACATCTTCATCTTCACTTGCGGCTTATCTTTAGTTATCTCCATATTATCTGCTGGAAAACATAAGAAAAGATACCATGTAACAAAATATGATAAATCGGAATAAATTTTTACTCTATTATATGTAGATTATTTGAGATTCATCTACAGAAAAAAACAGTTATAGTAAAGATGATCAAATTAAAATTATAAAATACATTCGTACCACTGTTTTTATTATTCTCGACCGTGTTCATGATCTCCTGACTGTTTTTGCAATTTGACGTATCGGCCTCCATTTGAAGCTCCTCGTAAAATGTTATTGCTGAACCGTATATCTTTTGAGCAGCGTCGGCAACCGTTAAGACAAACGTCGAGAACACCGGCTTAGGTTTACACGCTACTTTAGGCCAACATTCTACAGTCGCGCCCATCGGTAGACAAAACATGGCGACAGAATTAGGAAAGACGAAACTGTTGTAGTCCACCATGGGATACTTGTAGAGTATCGCCGGTTTAAACGACACCAAATTGGCGCGGTTCATAGACTTCTTGTAGCACAAATACACATCGCTGCCCAGCATCCCTTTGTTCAGATTCTTGTTGATGACGCAGAAAGCGTGCGGCGGGCTCTCCCCTTTGTTTGTCAGGATAACGCAGATGTCCGTGACCACAAGGGAATTGCAAGGCATCTTCCGACTCGCTCGTCTGTACGTTACGAAAATTTTTGACGTAGAATTATTCACATTTGCCACGTGGCCCTTCGGGGTCTCCAATACCATTTCAGCATCCTGCATTATACGTTCCTTTCCATCGTATATTACACCTACAAAGTAAAATGACATTTAGACAATATTGGAATAATTGGAATCAATGACTGTTTTGCAATGTTTGAATCCACAATTTAAAAAGCAATTGGTAGCAATTTTGGTAGCAATTTTGGCAAATATCTCAATTCACATATCGTTTCACAATGTTCGCTACATAATCCTCAATTATGTAGAAGCTCCTTTTTCTTACCAATGTCAACCAAGGGAGGTTTATCCCGCCCTCTTCTGTAGCACAAGTAACACTCGTTTGTTCGTAAACTCCCATGGTTCAAGTCCGCCGGGAAACCGGATACGGTGTATTCCAACAGCGTATATCCCTCCGGACAGTGCTCCCCCAGCGCGGGGAATATTACGGCAAGATCCGTGATGGGAGGTGGCATATGCATGTCCTTGAGGTGAGTGCCCTCCTGACACCAGGCCTCCAGCTTGTCGTTGGTCTCGTTGTCGTCCTCGCTGAGCTCGTCATCCTGACCAGGTAGACCGGCGATAACAAAATAATCCGCTACTCTTCGGTCATCCATATTTCCTAAGCGGTACAGATCACCAAAAACATCCAAAGATCCCACCGGTCAATCTCGGCTAATGGGGGACGTTTCTGTACATGGCACTGAACCGATAATTGTTCTAAAACTTTTCTCGCGTAAGTGGCACTCGAGACAGCATGCGATCTCTCGTTTCCTGGCACGAGAAGTACTCTCTCTCTCGTAAACGCTGGAACGAGATCTCTGGAGAGACAATTAATTCTAACACCTTAGACTACTGTATATGAAACATCGTAGTTCACTGGTTCGGCGAGTCTTCACGTAGGCTTACGATCTTATAAAAATATTTTGTTGACTATCCCCATATCGATACGGGTCCGCAAACGGAGTTGGAGTATTCCTCGATGCTGGCCTGCGTTTATTGCTCGGATATGGATGAAGAGACTCGTCAGGAAACGCGTCGCGAGGACTATCTCCCCGGACCGGACGTGTCGGAGTCTCCCACCAGGAAGTGACAGAGACACCTCGATCGTCGATTATCTTTCGTGCGCGCTTCACGGAGCGGACGCCCGCGTGGTGCCTCGCGCGTCGCCGCGCATCCTCGGCCTCGGTTTCCCCCCCGAGGACGATTTGTAAATAAAATCACGGACACGGCGTTCCTCGCGCGCGCGGACGCGCCGGCGTGAGATCGCCCCGCGGATCTCTGTCTCCCGCGAAAAAACGTCGGCGGCTCGCTCGCTCGCTCACTCGACGCGGACGTCGTCGACGCCCGGCGGATCGGTCGGCCGTCGTCGCGATCGCATCCCTCCGCGCGCGTACGAGAGAGAGAGAAGGGCGAGACCCCGACGAGAGTCCGCTGTCCGTCAGTTCCGTGGCGCTCTCTCTCTCTCTCCTCTCTTTCTCTCTCTCTCTTGCCCTTGTGTCTTCTCGCCCCCTTTCAGAACCGAGTCATAGGTTAGACGTCACACGCACACGCGACGACGGACGAGTTACACAAGCCGAAAAGCGCGCGCGCTCGCGGACACGACGTTTGTCGCGCTGTGCCGTGCGCGACTGGCGCGGAGAGCAGGCCGCCGGAGCTTCGCGGCGCCGCGGACACACGAGTGGTCGCCGCCGTCGTCGTCGTCGTCGTCGTCGTCGTCGCGCGGACTGGAGTTCCGCAGCGGTGACGCACCGACGAAACTGCGTTGTTGCGTCGCCGTGACCGGAACGCGCACACCACCTTCGCGCGGGTATCGGCGCGCGGCGTGCGGGTGTCAGTCAGATGGCCACACACTCCCAGTCAGTCGGACCGCGGTCGCACGCAGTCGGGCCAGTGCAGTCCCCTACTGGCCGCTGGCAAAATGGCCGATCGCCGTCGGCGCGGCTTCTTCGAAACGGGGTCCCCCGCGCGCGAAACTGGGACTCCGGGCGGCTGGACGACACGACGAGGATCGCGCGCGATCGCGATAGCGCGCGCCTACGTCCGCGGCAGGATGGGCGTGCAGATCGGGCGCCAGCGACTCGCGGCTCGCATTCTCTCTCTGACGGCGATTCGCACTAACGACTACCAACGTCGCGCCGTGCGCGCGTCATGCCCCCCTTTTTTGCGTACCTGTTTCTTTTTTTTTTTTCTGTCTCGTTTTTATTCCCTTTTATCGGAAACGTCAAGTCCTCCCCCCTCCCCCCACCCCTCCCCCGCTCCCGGGGTCATTCGAATCGCGATACAGGAATGTCGACAGACGTAAACGAGAACTTCGGATGCGTGACAGCTCAAGGATCAACTGCGCATCGCGAGCCCGTATAAACACTATAAACGACCGCGCGGAGATTACGACAGTCGCGCGGTGTAGCCTCGTGAGGCAGACGAAAGTATAGACAGGAATATTCGTAGTATTAACAGATATATGTAGCCATATTCCAATAGCGAGATCGATTAACCAACCGATTTGGCTAACCGACTTGGCCTGCTCCATTTTTTTAATTCAATTTAATTGTTTCGATTTGTCGATTGAATATCAAATAATACTATACGATAATATACTATTTGACGAAAGTATTATGCAGTTCAAATAACTTAAATTTATAAAAATGTTTTAATATTATTTAATATTTCTAAAACGAGAAAATCAAATAATTTTGTTGAATAATATTTATTTTAAATCCGTGTAAATTTTTGCCACGTGCGTGAGTGTTTGATATTTTTCGATAAAATTAGAATGACTAAAAATATTGAAATGTACGCTTGTAGTAGATTTCCTCCGTTTTATCAATATAGATACATACATTATCTCGAAGATGAATGTGATTTACGTCGTGCACAGGTCCAAAGTGTATCTGCAACTTTTTATTTAAAATTCTATCTACAATGGACGCCTAACAAATTATATCCATTATAATGCTTTCAGTATTTCATCTTCAGTCTTTCGAAGACGTCAGTACATAATTGTCTTGTTTTGAGCACAAAAAGAAGCGCGTAAAAACATAGAAATAGCAAGATCCATTACAGCTGTGGTAAATGAAAATAATTCTTTTTCTTTTTTGTTTAGGCTAATCTTCGTACACTTGTCCTGTCACCGTAGATTTGTTTGTTTTAGCTGCATTATTCGCATTTTTTTTTAAATAATTATATTTATTATATGTATATTAAAAGAAAATATTGGTGGTTTAGAATCTTTAGATATTCATATCCAATATATGTGTCAAGAATTTTCTGTTGATAGTCGATAATATTTATATTTTTCTGTAATCGACAGTCGATTACTTAATCTCGCAACTTATCCAAGGAGTTTCTCGATTATGGGGATTAAGTACCAATAAAGTCATATTGGCCGATTGGCGCGTTTGTCGTATGTAAATAATAATGGCGTGGACTGCGTAGAATGATGTGAGTGCTCCTGTTTTAATCACAGTTTCAATCTAAGTAACAAGATATAATACGAATTACAGAGCGTTAGTCTCTTTATCTTATGACAGCGTGAATTTTGAACAAGATTTAGCAAATAAGACATTTTAGCGTCAAACAGTATCTTCGACAGAAGTTGATTTACCGTAGATTAGGTTATGTTTAACACGGTCCTTTTGCAAATGATAAACAGCTCCCTGTTACAATTCGAATCGCTTAATTCTAATATGTAATTTTATCGATCTGTCATTGATTTCTTACAAATTCTGTTTCTCAACCAGCAGAATTCGATAATATGGCGTCTTCGTGCATGATACTGCGACGCGGCATCGCGACTTCCTGCGTTTGTAATGGGAAACGGAATTTTCGGAAATTTCTGCTGTACGGAAAACGTGGCAGTCGCAGCTTCAAAGAGAAACAGGCAAAGAATCCGGATCCCGATATGCCAGTAGACAGTAAGTTGCCTTCAATAAGTGGAGCAGTAGATCAATCTTCGTGAGTTGACATAGTCCAATTTTATTTGCATGTAAAATACATCCTCTGTACGAAACAAAGTATGAAAAGCAGAAGGATTTTGAGAGAGGAGAGTGATGTGGAAAAAGATTGGTTGATAAAAATCGATATTCTACAACCTATTAAGATAAATCGCTATAATAAATTACAGAAAGAGGTACAAGGGACACCGGCTACAACGTTGACGGTAAATTTGTCCACGTGCCAGAGATGGTCCCTGAGCTAATCGTCCCCTCGCTGGAAGGCTTCCAATTGAAACCGTACGTGTCGTACAGAGTGGAAGGGATTACAGAGCCCGAATTCACCGCTCAAGATTTGTTCGACATGGTGTACTCTAAAAAGATAAAGGAAGACTTTGCGAACGGTCAGCTGGACGAGAACGGGCAGCCGTTGAACCCGAGCGAGTACGAGAGGCTCACGCCGCAGCAAGCCAAGGAGCAGGCCTTGAAGACGGGCTCTGACTTCTTCGACGAGAAGAAACTGTCGTAAGTTGTCTTCGTTAGACTTTTTTTTTTGAAATTTAAAGCACCAATGTAAATATAAGCCCTTTCTGTGGATACTGTGTACTGTGCCGAAATAAAGAAACTCTCCCATATGCTCGGAACACATTGATTTGGATCTCTCAATCTGCATATGTTTTATTTAGAACTCGCATGTATACATATGTCGACAATTTTTGTAATTTACAAAAAGTAACTACTTACTATCGTATATGACTGTTGAAGTGGTAGTATGTGCGCACTTTGCTAGGAGCATGAAAAACGAAATTTGCTACTCATTGTATATCATTGTTTACGCGACCGTCTCTCCCTCTCAGGTCAGTTTCTCTCTTTATTTTTTTTTCCCTTCTTTATGACAAATTGTCTGTAATGGCAGTCAGTGCTTGATAGCAAATAATTACTTCCGCAAAACGGATTGTATAGTCTTTGTTTTCAAACAGATTACATATTCTTAAAACGATAGCTTACATATAAAACAAGTAGTATCACATGTAAATTGTCGCAGAATCTTCCGTCGTAGTCGTATATAGCTGAGTTTGCATTTCGATGGGCAGGTGAAATCATTTTATTATTGCTACCAAACCTCGTAGTGGATTTTTCTATTTTTTACGCAAATCTTCCGAAGAGTTTCACGTGAGTCCGGGGAAAAGACAGGTGTATAAGAATTCGCAACAATTCGCCGAAATTGATTTTCAATTCCTGAGATTCATGGATACTTTTGCGTCGATGTCCGTTTGCAGATAGTGGATTTCGTTTGCGATTAGGCTAAACTTAACAGTTACGTCTCACTTATCAAAAGACTTTTGAGCGAAGTTTGATTGTTTCCTGTCGGGTAAAAAATGGCGAAAAATTTGAATAGTAAAGTCGTTGTCAGTTGTGCGCGGCCGGTATTGCTTGCTACTGACTAGATCACTAGGTTCTAATAATATATGTATGTATATATTGTTATTTTTTAAAGTGCTGTATTCATATCAAATGTACAAACGGTCTCGTAATTATTGTTTCTCGTCAATGTTTCTCCTAATTAATTATAATTACGTAAGAGGAGCTCATAAAACAGAGCTGTCGAAAATAGAAAATATCCCGTTTAGACGAAATCAATATTTAGAGGATATCAGTGAACGATTTCATGAAAGATACTTGTATAAAAGTAGTGCAGCTATTAAATACAGTGGCTATAAATGTTTTCTAGAAAGAGATAACATATACAAAAAAAAAATGCAGTTAACTTATGCTTATGTAGAAAATGATCGTAGTAAATGATTTTATTTAAACATCTTTACAGAATGCAGCACTTCTCTGACACATTAGCTACTATTTAACCGCTAATATTATTGTTTTTCGTTTATTATTATTATTTTTTCTCTATTTTCTATGGTCACCATCGTGAAGAGTGGAAGAGGAAAACATCTCTAATTTTGTACAATGGAACGTTCATTCGGATAAACGTAACGAAAGAGTTCTCTTTAATCCGCGTCGTTATTTCCACTCTTCGATTAAATTAATTGAAAAGCGAAAAATGGCATAGTACTTGCGCTCCGCTATCAAAAGAACTTTAATCCTATTTCAGTCGCTTTCCCTCCCTATTTCGTCGATATCTCGTTTTTCTCTTATACTTTATTCTATAACGCTATTTATAATATCTCGTCAACAACTTGAGCATTCGCGTTTCTCTCACTCATTGGCAGTACAGAATATCCTCTAAGGATTTTATATCGCGTAAATTCGTAATATTCCGTTATTCGTTTTATACATACGAGCGATTACGAAAAAATGAACGTGCTCTAAGCCGCATAGCTCTAAGTCCTACCTGAATCCGTCTCAGTTAAAGAGTCCCCAATATTTAAAAGTCCCAACAGTTCTCTTTCTCTCTCTTTCTCTCCCTTCTTCTCGTTCATGCTCTCAATAGCGGAGTTCGTGAAGCAAGTCATATGCCACTTGCTCTTCGATTAAACTCGGTTGGTGTTTCAGCTTGTTAATTATCAGTCTATGATATAATTGGATATTTGACTGGTAGAATTCAGTCATTTTAATAAGGCAGGTACACGTGTTACTGTATGATAAAGATTCCTCTCGGCATGAGAACTTTTTTGCACATTCTGTGCATGTACTCATGCACAGATGTGTTACAAGTACAATAGCGTACAGTGTAACTTTGAATTAGTACATATGCGAACGATTATCATGTGGAACATTGTATCGCATTTTTTTTTCTTCTTTTAGCACCTCCGCCAAATCCTCCGAGTACCAACGTGTCGGACCAATAGAAATACAAAATTGTAAATCTTTGGCATTCAGTAACATGTACCATACATCTAATAGGAGATCTTGAGTATGTAAAGATATATAATTATTATAGATGAGTGAAACGTCATTAAATTCTTCGTTATACCTTAGCGTCTCTCTATCGGAATGCAAAATGATATGCAACTATGTTAATAAAAGTCAACGTGGAAAGACTAGGGAGGGAACACTGCTGAGAGAGTTGATATAATAATTCAGCTCGACTTTTCATACGCAAGATCTCGAGGCAATTACTAATAACGACACAGGGCAGAAATTTATTCCATTGCATCCCCTACATTTTCGAAGATGGTTGAATGTGGATTGCTGGTGGCGGGCCACAAGAAACCACCTACGCTGCCAGGTGGTAAGTAAGACGCACCTCCACTAAGACCCACCTAATGTTTCATATTGCATCGGTTAATTTAATAATCAGCTTGAATAGTTCATTTCTTTTTCATACTTTTGTATCTATATATGCATATACTTGGAGAAAATATGTGCCAAGCAAAATGATATGGAAGCATAGTGGGATATAGACACTTCAATTTTATAATGAAATATTTATATGCATATTTTATAAGAATGTGTATATATTTACATATAAAAAATATGCGCGATTGCTTAATTACATTGACGCAAAAATGTAAAGATATATAAATTTGAATTTTTAATATGGTATATCATACTGTAAAAATATTTATCTCTTTTTGCATATAAAATTGAATCAACTATATAATTATACGAATTAAAGCTTTCCTATTTGAAGTGCGTATAAGTTTGAATTGCTAACAAGATGGTAATTTTATATCCAAGGATCCATGCAGTAAGGCAAATTAGAATCAAAGATAAACTGCCAAATTAAAGAAAAATAATCATTTATTTGCATTTAACATAAATAATTGTGCTAATAAATCGCAGGTACTAAATAACATGTATTGTACTAAATAACATTATGTACATCAGCTCACTATTGCAAATGTGGAAAGCATTTACAATAATGCCGAGACACTCTCAATAAAAAAAAAAAAAAGAAATCTTATCTTCTAAACTATGTACAAGGGTTTTTCCAGTTTCATTACTTTTTTTTGTTTTCTACAGTTTCATTTTCTACGTGTGTCGATTAATTTACTTCCTCCAAATAGAGAGTGTCAAAATCACAGTCCAATTGTAAAAAGCGCTCCAACGGCTGTACACGTCGTCTCAATCGTACGTTTGCCCGATCTATCTATTTTTACTTCAGTAACTTTTTTTTTATGAATTTACCTGCTGGCTCCATATTAGCGACCTCTCCGCCAACTGGCAGTCCGCTGCCAAGCGGGACGGTAGACTCTTCCACCTCTCCTCGTCTCGCTTTCTATCTCTGTCGACGTGTCCCTGAGAGAGAGGCGGCAAGATCTGTGTACGCTGCGCCAGCTTGTAGCTGTCTTGCCTCGGTACGTGATCGGCACGTCTGCTGGTGTTGCCGGTGGTAGACACGGGGATCGGGGTCGGACTACCGCCGCCTCTGTGCCGGTGATACAAATTACGCTTTTGCTGCAGCATACGCTGCTGCACTAGGAGCTGCAGCTGCGTGCCCGAGTCGCCGCGTATCTTAAATTGCTGTTGATTATCGGGCGGTGTGGACGGTGGTCTAAGATGGACTAGATCCAGGTGGCCACGAGCTTTTCCCGAATCTGAAAGCGATTAAAATTATCGCGTTATCACAAGTTGTCATGAGTTATCGTGGAGTTACTAGCCGAACAAACCAAACAGTAGACGTGACGCACCTTGAATACTCCTCTGCTTGGATGGTCGGTCGCTGACACCCTGCTGACAGAATAGTAATCTAGGTCCACCGTCGGACGCTCTTCGTCCCTGAGAGACACGGGATATTCGACCAGTGATAGGGGATGGACTCTTGGGTGGCGGCGGCGTGCATGATGGTAAGCTGCTCGTGAAACAATTCGTCCCTGTATAATCTGGCGGGCAGCCAGAATCGAAGCTAGACTCGAAGAGTTCCGACGACGAGCTACCGCTGCCGCCTGCCATGAACAAAGTCGTTCGGCTGGGTGGATCAATAGGATCCATAAGCGGGTTATCAAAATGATGTTGATAATCACTTAATCTTCGATTGACTATCTGACTGTCAATTCGTTGACTGATATCGTGATCTAGGCCTAATCTATGCTCCTCGAGCTTGATCTGCGCCTCGCGCAACTCGTCTCCGCTTGGGCCTTCCTCTAAATCACCCTCCGCGCTGCAACAACCTTCATCGGTCGAAGAACTCGTCGAGCTGAATCTTTTTCCCCCTCTGCCGCCATCTTCTCTTGCTCTGAAACAAGAAAGAGATTTTCGTCTCGTTAACATTCGAAATAAACGTTTGTTCTGCCATCGTAGTTTTTGCGATGACTTCGAATAGAGATGTTCTATAAAGCAACGGATTCAAAAAGTATTAATCAAGTATTCTCATCATTTCATCTTTTAGCATTAGTTTGTTGTTAGATTGAAGAAAATGTCATTACAGGAGCGATACATCATAAATTAATCATACGCCCTCTACTCACATACGAGTTTCATATTGTTATATACAGCATAAAATAAACATAGAATATAAATATTTACAAGATAGTAGATTTTGTCAGTCAAATATGATTAATGCGAAAAATATGAAATCATCAATGGCATAAAAAATAATGTGCTTTTTACTCATAAATAAACAAACCAAAGTAATCAAACCAAAGTAATAAAATCAAGAATTATGATTAAAAATCAGGATTTAGGAATAAAGAAAGAAATAAAATGAAATGAGGAGTTACCAAAAATAAAGCGACAGCAATGTGCTTCCAATCCAACCTGTCCTGACAAAATCTTCAATATTGTGCGTCACCCATCAATAAAGTTCAACGTCCCACTAAGCTATCGCTGTAAATAAAAATTGATTGCATTAAGGCATTGTTCGTGCGATATTTTTTCGACTGGTAGGATTGGAAGTTACTAAAGTGAGAGACAGAGAGAGAGAGAGAGAAAGAGAGAAAGAAATCGAAATTTGAAATTAAGTCCTTAAAAGAAAGTACATGTGATGGTGCTTAGTAATATATGTCTACCTTGATTTAAATTTATCTTCCTTTGTTCTTGCAACTGTGGACCAGCAGGCATTATTAATGGTACTGCTGACACGATGTTGCTTCAATCTTTCCAGCAGTAAGAAATAAATAGCGGCATGGTGGTCGTAGCTGCTATTTCGTAAAGACTGTTAAAAGAGAATAACACGCGTGTTTACATAGCGCAACAAAAAATATATCGAAATAATATAACGTACAGTTTGTAAAAATCTTCCTCTATTTTTCTGATTCGCTAGACAGTGCTATCGCTTATTTTCAGAACCGCGCGTACAATCCAAGAATATCATACGATTACTTTCTTTTTGAATATATATCGTATATAAAGAATAATACTTCATGCAAGGCTGCAACGAAAAAGAATATTTTCTTACCTCTCTGGTGCGACTGATGTCTATTCCTAAACTGTGCATGAGCCGAAGTATTTGTTCATTTGGTTCCTGAATGGATGACGATGGCCGCGTTACGATCACTGAACAAATGCTATCTGCCGTCCCCGCCATCCAGCGGTGCCTCTTGATTTGTGGAATGGTGTATCGTTTGGAAGGCTCCAGCACTAACATCTTACGTATTAGGCTTTCGCAATCTGCAACACGAATTTCGATATGCACGTAAGCGCAACGCAAGTATTGAACGTGCGAAATGTGTATTAACGTTTATTTCGTATGTAATCACCTGTGCTCATAAAGTAAGGAATTCTAAATCTGCCGCTTAGCACGCGATCTCTTAATGACTGAAGGGTTGATCCATCGAAGGGCAGTGCACCGCACACCAACACGTACAACACCACGCCCAGGCTCTACAAGCGCCGAGATGTTATTTTATTTCGAATCCACGTAAATTCGTTTCTTGATTTTTTTTTCTCTTATCGTGACACGCGAGAGAGAGAGAAAGAGACTCACCCACACGTCGATTTCCGGTCCGGCGTAATGCTTGCCGCGAAAGACCTCGGGAGCGGCGTAGGGCGGGCTGCCGCACCACGTGCTCAAACGTTCCCCCGGGGCGAATCGGTTACTGAAGCCGAAATCGGCGATTTTCACATTCATCTGGGCGTCGAGCAGCAGGTTCTCCGCTTTCAGATCACGATGCGCCACACCCGTCACATGGCAGTACTCGACCGCGGAGAGTATCTGAGCGAATGTCGCGCGTGCCCTGGGCTCTCCCATTCTTCCGTATCGCGCTATGTAGTCGAATATCTCGCCCTTGCTCGCGTACTCGCACACCTGCAAACAACAGCGACAGGGAGGGTGATGCATTTTGTTCGTACAGAAAGAGAAAGAGAAACGGCCGCAACAATTTCGTTACGCTCACCATGTAAATCATGTTCTTCGTCTCCATAACTTGATATAATTTGACGATATGCGGATGCTCCAGCTGCTTCATAATTTCGACCTCTCTATACACTTTCTCTAGATTGGTAGGATCTAATTGAGTTTTGTCGATTATCTTGATAGCGACCTGGAAGAGAATGCGTCAGCAATAATGACAATTTCTTGCTTTTTTTTTTAAATATGTTTTCCAAGCTAACGTCGTCGATTAAATAAATATCGAAGAAAGCGCGCGCGTACCTCTGTTTTCGTGATTCGATGTCTGGCCAGTTTTACAACGGCAAAGTTTCCCTTGCCGATCGTTCCTTCGATGTCGTAAAATCCGACGCGGATTTGCTTTTTACCCTGTGTAGATCCAGTCTCCATGTTTACGTAAATTTCTCGTTCAACTTGCACGCTCTCACGAATTAATTCTCCCCTCCGATCTCTTCGCTAATCTACAACACAATCGAAGCGTGCGGTGCTTTAAAAGAGAAGCCACACACAGTTTCTCTTTCTATTTTCTAATAGTTTCATAAGATGGTCTCGAATGTAAAATTATTCGAGTGTAAAATTAACAAGTGTATTATTTAACAATTTTCTTAATTAAGAATAAGAATTATATAAAAACAAGGAATTGTAATAAAATAGTGAGAGTAAAATTGCGTAAGATACGCGATGTATCTATATTGTTGGAGCGGAGAGTCGTAAAGCAGCCTATGTGTGATCTTTCACGGAAATTCTTTTGAGAATCTCCGTTACTCACGTCATCATTTGTGCTTTTAACAGCCGGTCTTTAGCCACGCTTTTTTTTTTCGTTATCGAAATGTCAATTTTCGTACACGGCCCTTTGTGACTTTCCGCTCTCTCGTGCACTATAGAGCCTTTTATTTTTTAAACGTAGTCCATGCGAGCAATTATATACGCAGGCGCAGGTCCCGATGAAAATTCATAAAGATCCACTTCGAAAAGTCGCATCTGACGGATCGGACTTTTTAACGTCCCGTAATTTGCCTTCGTTGTTTCGCGCGCGCGAGTCTTCTTTCACGCAAATATCAATATCTGCTGCCTCGCTCGCGAGGTATCTCGTACGATATCGGCGACCGTCTAACTCACGATAATTACTTATCACGCGTTCGCCGTTGACGCGAGTCAACGCAAGGCCGATCCGACGTCGAAGGCGGCGCGCGCGATGTATCCCGGAAGAAAGGACGTCGCCGTGAAGTGGCGCGTGAACGCGACGGGACGCGTTCAAAAAAGGGGGTGAAAAACGGCGCGAAAGTTGGGGCGAAAGGACTGGTGGTCGCAAGGAGAGCTGCGCGTCAAGGATTCGCCGCGGGAGTCCCGACGGGAGAGTACAAAGTCCCGCCCGCAACAAGTACAACAGAAATCCTCGGCTGACGTCACGGATCGACAACGACCTCCTACCCATCGAGAGAGTCACCGCTGATCGATCGCCGTCGATACTCCTCGATATAGGGAGTAGAAACCCCGCGCGCGGCGTCGGACGCGAGGTCGCCGACGTCAGGACGCGAACGCGGCCGGAGTCCCGCTCGCGGACCGCGCCGATCGTCTCTCGGGGGGTCGAGGGGATTCCCGGGGAGGGTGTGTGCGCGACCGCCTAAGGGGTGAACTCCCTTCTCTCTCTCGAGTCGCTCACCTACCTTGGCTCGGGAATTACCGGTTGGCCGCCTCGAGGATCCCCCGGTGAACGCGCGGAGCGAGACAGGCGGAACAATTGACAGCGACGACGATGGCGACGGCGACGACGACGAGGAGACGGTACTCCAGGGGACCCATCGGTGCTCTAGAGAGGCGTCCGGACGTCGTGGCGCGCGCGTGACCACCAGATTGTCCGGAGAGTGCCCTGGGGGGATGCGCGCGTGTTCCCCGCGGGTCCACCGCGAGCGGACGGAGAGCGTATAGCAGAGCGGAGCGGAACCGTCGCCGTGCCTACCGCGCGCGAGGCGACTCAGCGTAGGAGCTCCGCTCGGCGCGGCGGTTCGATACCGACTGACCGGCGGCCATGTTACCACCCCCCCGTGCGGCTGCTCCGGCTCGGCGGCCGACGACGGTGTCGGCGCCCTCGGCCCTCGCCGCCCCCTCGTACGCCGTCGCCCCGGCCATTCTTAGCGAACCATCCCTCTCTTCGCTTCCTCCCTCTCTCTCTCTCTCTCTCTCTCTCTCTCTCTCCTCCT